TAGATGTTGAGAAGACATTTTCACCAATGGGGGAGCCTTGAACCAGGGCACATAGTTAAAGAGTAAGGTGACACTTATTTAAAGCTGAGATACAAAGAAATTTCTTCTCTCAGAGGGAAGTAAATATTTGGAATTCTCCACCAGAGAGTTGTGGAGGCAGATCACTGAAGTATTTACAGAGGAGGCAGATCAAATTTTGAAATATGAGTGGGTTAAGGGCTATATAGAACTGACACAAAAGCAGAGTCGAGGCTTGGGGCAAGTCAGCCATGATCTTATGGAGTATTGGGGCAGATTTGAGGGGCTAAATGACCTACTCCTTCTCCTGTTTCTTGAGTTCCTGTATTCCTCTCTTCTAAAGCAATATTCACATTATAAGTGTAGTGGTAAGATTGAGTGTAGACTGATGGGTTCCTTATCTATGGGCACCCTGTGTGGAATGAAGGATGGCGTGGCCTGTTTGGAGGACCTCCTTCTGGGCCTAGCCATGGTGACCATCAAATAAAAAACGAAAGAACTGCAGATGCTGTCAATCAGGAATAAAACCAAAGTAGCTAGAAAAGCTCAGCAGGTCTGGCAGCATCTGTGAAGAAAAAAATCAGAGTTAACGTTTCAGGTCCGGTGACCCTTCCTCAGCACTGATGGTGGCTGGGAAAACGTCAGTTTATTTGCAGAAAATAGGGAGGGGGATGGGGTAGGGAGTAAATGATAGGATAGAGCCTAAAGAGAGAGAAGAGCAGTTGGTCAGACAAAGGAGTTTATAACGATCCGGCTGGGAGGGTGAATAGTTGTTAATGGGGGCTATTAGTGACTAATAACAGGGGGTGTGTAATGGCAGGCAATGTGGTAACAAGGCCTGATGTGTGGGGTAGGGGGCTGGCACATTGGAGAGTTTAGGCCCTAAAATGATTGAACTCGATTTTGAGATAGCAGGAACTGCTGATGCTGGAGAATCTGAGACAACAAGGTGCAGAGCTGGATGAACACAGCAGGCCAAGCAGCATCAGAGGAGCAAGAAGGCTGATGTTTCGGGCCTAGTTGAGTCTGGAGGGCTGCAGGGTCCACAAGCGGAAAATGAGGTGTTGTTCTTCCAGCTTGCGTTGAGCTTTGCTGGAATATTGCAGCAAGCCAGAGACAGAGATGTTGGCCAGGGAATAGGGTGATGTGTTAAAGTGGCAGGAGATTACACTTCGGAGAACATCTATGTTCTGCTTGCAAATCACATGGTCCAGGGAGTGAGCAGTGGAGGAGGTTGTAGCCCCTGACTGTCTGCCCTTCTCTGTGTCCAGTATCTATGGAGAAGGAGCATGCAGAGTCCACTGGAACAAGAGAGGCCTTCAGGGTCCAGTGACCTCTTCAGCAGCAAGGTTGCATTATTGCACCCAAAGGTGACATGTCAATCTAATTTCAATAGGTTTCCATTACAATTCTGTACATTTCCATTGACTGTATGGTTTTTATTTTTGATGCATGTCCCCAGCAAGGGTTATCTAACTTGGTCAAGGTTTATTTAAAAGAGTAGACTGATGGGGCAGTATTTGGCTGGGTTGGATTTATCCTGTATCTTGTGGGCAGATCAAATCTGAGCAACCTCATCATTGGCTGGAAATAAACTGGATCAGCTTGAAATACATCAAACCATGATTTGCCACACAGCAGACACAACCTTTTACAACATTAATATTGATATTATTTCAACAAATTGACATGATGTATGTTTAATTATGAATGTAATAGTTAGGTAAGGGCAGTTTGATTATAGCATGTGATTTGACTCCGTGGTCCAGTTCCAACTGTATTAATTGCCTAGAATTAGACACTTCTATAGCTCCAGATTTACTAGGAATTTAACTTTTTTAAAATTTATTCATTTTGTCGGATGTTAGCGTCGCCGACTGGCCAACAGTCATTGCCCATCCCGAGTTGCCCTTGAGAAGGTGGTGGTGAGCTGCCTTCTTGAACTGTCGCAGTCCACCTGCTGTGGATTGATCCACAATGCCATTAGGGAGGCAAGTCCTAATTCAGAACTGAACATCATCTTTAGCCCCGAGTGCTGTACGAATAGTGGCCGTCGCTCCTAGTGGCACTGCCAGCTTTGGAGAGCTGTGAGCACCTGCTCAGCCACAACTCGCTGTGCTGGGACATCCAATCTCAGAAGGGTGGAACCCCTGCTTCCGGGTCTGTCAGCCCTTCAACATCTGACACATTCTGCTGGACAGGTTGCTGCAATGTAATTAACCAAAGGGGTAGGGATCACGGTTCCTGAAAAGTCAAACAAAAGATGTTGTTAAAGTCTTCCGTTCCCTACATTATTGCAACTTGGGAATTGCAGGTGGGCTTTGAGAAAAATGGTGTTCAAAGTGTCAGCTGTCTTGTCTAAAGGCACTTCCACTTCTCACCCTTCGCCCCCAGTGACTCAATTGCCATTATGTTGGCCCATAGTTTGATGAAATCTGGCCCCGTACAGATATAGTTGAGACAGATTTTGGCAAGGACCTATTATGTCTCAAACCCCAGATATCACCATTTAATAACAAAACTAGAATGCATACATGCCAAACAGCATAAGTGATTCTACACCCAATGGTACTGCAGGCCTGTCACTTCCAGTTGTGAATAATGGTGGACAGCTCACTGGAGGATGAATTTCGACAAATATCTCCTTCCTAAATGGTGGGGGAGCCCAGCACATCAGTGCAAAAGATAAGGCTGAAGCATTTGCTACAACCTTTGGCCAGAAGTGCCGAGTCGATGACCCATCTTGGCTTCCTCCAGTGGTCCTCAACATCACAGGTACCAGTCTTCAGCCAATTCGATTCTCTCCACATGATATAAAGAAATAGCTGGAGGCAATGGATACTGCAAAGACTATTTGCCCTGACAATATTCTGTCAATAGTACAGAAGAATTGTGCACTAGAACTTGTCATATCTCTAGCCAAGCTATTCTGGTATAGCTACAACAATGGCTTCTACCTGACATTGTGAAAAATTGTCCAGGTAACTGCTGTACACAAAAAGCAGGACAAATTCATCCTGGCCAATTTCTGTCCCACCACTCTACTCTCAACCATCAGTAAAGTAATGGAAGATGTTCCATCAAGCAGCACCTGCTCAACAATAACGTAGTCACTGAGGCTCATTCTGGGTTCTGCCAGGGCCACTCAGCTCCTGATTACAGTCTGGTTCAAGCATGGACAAAAGAACTGAACTCCAGAGGTAAGGTAAGAGTGACAACCCTTGACATCATACGACTGAGTGTGGCATCAAGGAGCCCTAGCCAAAGTGGAATCAATGAGAATTGGGGGCTAGAATCAGGTGAGAGGAGTGTCCTGGCGTGGGGCAAGTTGCTAATGTGGCGAGTTTGGTAAGATAGGGCCAAAGATCTCACTAGGCCTTGTAGGGAGAAACCATCCATGAAACTTAACAAAACTGACATGTAGCCAAAAGAAACTAAGTTTTAATTCATTGAGTGTGATTTACTGTAATATCGAAAATTAAAGAACATTCTGAATTAATAGTAATCATCTACAGTTATTAAATGGAAAGATTCTTAAATCACAAGAGTTAACTAGTGAGTACTTTTCCCAGCCTAGAATGGCAAGGTAAAAAGATAACAAGAAATAAGTTGTTCCAATTATAAATTAAGGGGCTTTACGATTTATTTGATTAAAATTGCAGTTTCAAATTTGTTCTGAAGAAACAGTTGTAGTTTGCACTATTATATTTAAGTTTGTATTAATTAGAATGGAATTTCAGCACATTTCCAAATCATAGCCCCTTTGCTACAGCTAGACGTGACTTTTCCATGGTCGTTTGGCTGACGACAATGTTCTCACTGGGTGTGTATTTCTTGCAGTTAATTGCATTTTTTTTTCCCAATGGGTTATTTGCTGGATTACAGCACTGTTGTTTATGCTTGTGCCAGAAATAAAAAGATTGGTTTCTGAGTAAGTTTAAAGCAGTATCAAAATCTCACCAACCCAGCTCCTTTTATGTTTTCTGACTATTCGCTTTGTTGGCAAAGAGTTTGCTTTTTGAATTTTTATCAGAACACTGGTATAGATGCTGCTGCAAGACTCAACTTCATAGTTTATAACTCAGGTCATGTTTTGGAAAGCTGATCTCTCAGGGACTGCTGCGAGGATGGAAAAGGCTGAGATCTGGCCGTTACAATTATAATGCTTCATGTCACATTCCGTACAGAAAATATTAATCAGTCTTGTGATAAATCAGGAATTTTCATGTTGACTTCAGTCATAGCCCAACAAAGAACCCAATATGGGATTTTTATCTGGACCGAAGCCAATTGAAAATTGAATGTTTCCTGATTCTTGTTTGATAGTGCTAAGATAACCAGAATCAAACATCCTGTGGGTGATGAAAGCTTTTTCTTTTGACTAGGGTTTCAATTGCCATGCATATTGTACAAAAATATGTTCCTAGCAAATATTAATTTTTAATTCATTGGCTGGAGACATACAAATTTTACAAAAAGGACTATTTTAACCAGCTCAAGGACATTGACTGAAACTAAAAATAAAGGTTGGCAGTCTGCATTACTATGTAATCCATATTACACTCCATTTGGTTGCAAATGCAAGGTTTATGCAGATCCAACCGGAGACAAAAGATTGCTGGAGCGTTGTAAATAATTTTCTTCTTACCTTGTCAAAAATAAGGATCCATAGTATTTAAACATGGATAAAAATAATGAACCATTCAGAAATTAATTTCTTAGACAAAAGACCCTGATTTTCTTATTTTGACTATGCAGGCATAGGCTAATCAAAGGTACCTCTTGGAACAGATAATGGATTTTTTAACTGTAGTGATTGTAACACGGTCACCCAGGAGGACATCATAGAATATAACATCTTCATCAATGTCTGGAGCAGTACCAGAGAGGGACCATGCAGCAAGGCGGATAATTTAGCAACGGAGCGTGGCAGTGGTTGGGACCCAGCACAAGTCTGGATGGCAGAGTGGCGCCAGCAAAGGATGGCGGTCATCAGCGGCGAAAGATGGTGGCAGCGGCAGTTGGTCATGAAGGATGATAGCAGCAGTAGGCAGCGACGAAGCAGTGGTCAGGGCTGAAGCCTTGTGAGTGACGCCAAAGCTTGGCATGCCCCATGGAGATCAACAGTGCTGTCAGCGGCAAAGGCAGCTGATGAACACAGGCGGGTCTTAGCCCAGTCTGGGGAAGTGTGCCCAGCTAGGACAGAGTGAGACCTCTTGGGGAAAGCTTGGAGTGTCTGCAAGCCCATGGCTTACGAAAGGACTGTAATGTTTGACTTTTTAACTTTATTTCTTTATTTTTCCATTTTTATATTAAGAAGAATGAATATTTTAACTTATATCTTTGTTTTTCTACTTCTTTAACTAAGAGTTTGCAACTAAGTACCTAAGATGGCACCTTGTGTGGTGACGTTATCCACTTTTCACTGTACTCTTGTACCCTGTATTTGAGTACGCATAGTAATCAAACCTAAATCTAAATCTATGAATTTAAGTGATTATTCTTGATGTATCAGACATGCCACTTTAAGCTCTGTGTTCTGCTAAAAACTCCGCGTTCTTGTGGTTTACATTTGGAAAGCTATAAATATTTTTGGTAATGCATTGAAACTGTCTGTGTCTTTCTTTCACATTATTCTAATTGGGAACTGGTCAAGGCCTATTATTTAGGGGTAAAAAAGAGTGGTGGTGATATGGTACAGTTCACTCAATGTTTTTGTGTTGTATGACAACATTTATTTTTATGAGCACATTGTAGTCTGGAGTTATGGGCAGTTATGGTCAAGGCTGTAACTTTCTTTCTATCATTTGGCCAGCCAGGAATCTTTCGCAGCCTTACCACCTGCTATTGGTATGTGTTGGAAAGATTTAGTTAATACTTAATCCATTTGGCCATATGATAAAGCAATTTTCTAGGCCTTCAACTCATGGTAGGACCCAAATGTGGAGCTTTGGCTGAGAGGTATGGATGCTACTCACTATGCCATGAGAGCTCCTCTTAAATAGATCACAAGCAAACAAATCAATAAAAAGCGATATGTTTTGGCATGTACAAGGTTTGGAGGCCCAAGGACGATAGGATGAAGAGAAACACAAGAGTAATGAGAGGTTTCAGGCCACAAAATTTGGCTGATGTTACACCAGCTACATAGGACCACCCTCCCATCATCATCCATCCCACCTCACCTAATGCTTTTTAAGGGATTTACTGTGGGATTCTGAGGTGTGTGCTTTTAACTTTTTATTGTTGCTTTGGAGTTAGTAAAGGATGGTGTTTAGTTTCTTTGGAGGACTTCTGAATTGGTTTTGGAGTCAGCAGAGTTTAAACGTCTGTCAGCAGAAAAATAGCTACGACTAATGGTTTGTGTAGTGTCACCCCACTACCAAGGACATTTTTCCTTCCCCACCCTTATCTGCCTTCCGGAGGGACCGCTCTCTCCATGACTCCCTTGTCCGCTCCACACTCCCCTCCAGCCCCACCACCCCCGGCATTTTTCCCTGCAACCGCAGGAAGTGCTACACCTGCCCCTACACCTCCCCCCTCACCCCCATCCCGGGCCCCAAGAAAACCTTCCACATCAAACAGATGTTCACCTGCACATCTGCTAATGTGGTATACTGCATCCGCTGTTCCCGATGTGGCCTCTACATCGGGGAAACCAAGCGGAGGCTTGGAGACTGCTTTATGGAGCACCTACGCTCGGTTCATGACAAACGACTGCACTTCCCAGTCGCGAACCACTTCAACTTCCCCTGCCACTCCTTGGACAACATGTCCATCCTGGGCCTCCTGCTGTGCCACAACGATGCCACCCGAAGGTTGCAGGAACAGCACCTTATATTTCGCTTGGAAATCCTGCAGCCCAATGGTCTCAATGTGGACTTCACAAGCTTCAAAACCTCCCCACTCCCGACCTCATCCCAAAACCAGCCCAGCTCATCCCTGCCTCCCTGACCTGTCCGTCTTTTCTCCCACCTATCTGCTCCTCTCACCTCAACACCCAAACCCCACCCCCACCTCCTACCTACCAGCCTCATCCCCGCCTCCTTGACCTGTCCGTCATCCCTTGACTGACCAACCCCCACCCTAACTCTCCACCTACACTCACCTTTACTGGCTCCATCCCCGCCTCCTTGACCTGTCCATCTCCTCTCCACCTATCTGCTCCTTTATCCACCTTCCATCTGCCTCCCCCCTCTTTCTATTTATTTCAGAATCCCCTTCCCCTCCCCCATTTCTGATGAAGGGTCTAGGCCCGAAACGTCAGCCTTCCTGCTCCTATGATGCTGCTTGGCCTGCTGTGTTCATCCAGCCCTGCACCTTGTTATCTATGACTAATGGTAATATAGTTACTGTCCCACTTGGCCTTCAAGTGCTCCCTGAGTATCTACAGTGTGTACAGTCCCTTGTAAAACATGCCCTCAGCTTTCTATTCACAGCTGCTCATGCTGTATAGGCCGTTGCTCTTCCTTCTCCATCAAGCACGATGGCTGCTCTACCAGGCTATTCATGACTGCAGTCAAACCCTTTAGAAGGCAGCTAAACACAGTGAGTACAACAATCCTTACTTTCAGTGTCAAGTGTAACTTTCCAGGATCAGATCAAAGACCGAAGTTCCCAAAGTAGTCAGTGACCTGAAATGTCACACCAGCAATGAACCTAAGTAATTACAAACACAATACTGTCTCAGGATTTTGTTCGAGATCAAGGTTTTCTGTATAAACATTTTATAATTCACAGGGAGGTAAAAATCAAAGTGTTGTCTAGTCAAGTTTGGCCTTGGAACATGCCAAGCAAGAAGTTACCCTTTCATTGTTGTCATTTATGTTCGTAAGATAGTTGTGGTGAGGTTTAAAATGTCAAAGATTAGGTACTGTTTTGTTAGGATGATGAGGTAGCGAAAACAGATGACTGACAAAACAAAGAACACAATTCAAGAGAGGCTTCCAGGAGCTACAGGTCATTAAGAACAGTGAAGTAGAGTATTTGAAGTGCAAAGTAATGTCTAGATTTTTAGAATATTCTCAGAATAAGCTGGGCATGCTCAGGTGAAGGTAGGCCAATCTGACTCTGATACAGGTACTGTGTTTATTTGTATCTCAATATCTTATGTGTTTCAACCTTTTGCATTTTAACTTCTTTATTTCTAGCATTGTGGCTTCCTTTATAACTGTAAAAACCATTCTTTCTCAGCAAAGAAGGTTTACTTCAACCTCATAGAAGCAAGGACTGAACCTAGTGAAAATTACTTATGGGTACTGGATAAATCCTTTGAAACCCTGGTGGAGATTTAGAGTTATAGAGTCATACAGCATAGAAACAGGCCCTTCAGCCCACCATGTCTGTGCTGACCAACAAACACCAAACTACATAAATCCCATTTATCTTGCACTTGGTCCATTCCCTACTATTGCCTTGACATTATAAGTGCTTCTTCCAAGTCACAAGTTATTAGGCAAGTCATTGTCATCAGCAGTCCCTTGAAACAAGGATGACTCTCTTCCACTTTCGGGTTGAGTCTGTAGGTGGCTGTACAGACTGATGCAGTTACCGCAGGCTCTGTTATGCTCGGGGCAGGTGGTGGTCACAGGAAGGGGTGGGTGCGGCGTTCGTGTGGCAGCACGCTCCTTTCACTGTTTTCGTCTGGCTTCCATTTGTTTCCTGACGGCAAGTCTCAAGGTGCTCATTGTCTTCCTGCACGCTGCTCTTTCATTTTGGGCATTCTGATTGCCAGGTGTCTGTGAGAATGCCACACTTCACCGGTGAGTCTTGAGGTTATCACTGAAGTGCTTCCACTGTCCACCTGGGGCTAGCCTGCCATTTTGAAGTTGGGAGTAGAGCACCTGCTTGAGCAGTCTCATGACCAGCATAAGGAATGATGTACCCAGCCTATTGTAGCTGATCAAGGGTGGTCAGTGTCTCAGTGCTGGGGATGTTGGTCTGGTCAAGGACGCTGGCGTTGCTGCATCTTTCTTCCCAGGGGATTTGCAGGATCTTGTGCAAGGCAGCATTGGTGGCACTGCTCCTGTACCTTGAGATGTCTGCTGTAGACAGTCCATGTCTCAGAGCCATATTGGAGAGTGGGAACCACCAGATCTTGGTGTTGGATCTGATGTTGTTGTTCCCGAACACCCTTTTCTCAGGCAGTCGAGGAGTTCAAAGTTGTCAAAGTTCGCTAATGCCTCCCCATGGGCCTTGATGATCGAGGGTTTGCTCCACAGTGCTAGGCCAGGTTGGTGGAGAACCTTCATCTTGCGGTTGATGGGCTAGTAGCATCAAACAAAACATCCTTAAATTAGCAAGGGGAGACAGAGAATGGTGGCGGAGCTTTGCTTTTCGGACTGGAGGCCTGTCACCAGCGGTGTCCCATAGGGATCAGTTCTGGGTCCTTTTCTTTTGTCCTTTATATTAATGATTTGGATAAGAATATTAAAGACGTGGTTAGTAAGTTTAAGGACGATACCAGAATTGGTGGCCTAGTTGACAGTGAAGAAGGCTTTCTAAGATTACAAAGGGATCTTGATTGAATGGGTCAATGGGCTAAAAAATGGCAGATGGAGTTCAATCTGGATAAATGTGAGGTATCAGGTTTGGCAGAACAAACAAGGGTAGGACTTAACCAATTGATGGTAGGACCTTGGGTAGTGTTGTAGGACAGTGGGACCTAGGGGCTCCCTTCACCTGATGAAGGGGCTACACCCCAAAAGCTTGTCGTTTCAAATAAACCTGTTGGACTACAACTGGTGTCATGTGACTTCTGACTTTAAAATATTTAAGGTTGAAAATTTGTTAAGGCCTACATTTTGGGAATGGAACACTTTTTGCAATCAACTCCTGTCCATTAAGGCAGTGAATATGTAAACTTGTATTGCCTCCTCTTTTAACTGATTATAGCATTAAATGGAAATCATCCTGCTGGCCTTTTGAATGCAGGAGGGTCAGCAAGGTGAGCTAATAGCCTAAGGTGTAACAAATCTGCTCCTCTTAAAGAAACCTTTCCTCTTAAAAGTGAGCTGCACTTAGTAGAAAGGAGCTGCTACTAACTGTCTGTGTTGACATTAATTGCGAAGAGTTACAAAATTGGAACACTTAGAGAAGAGACAAGGCTCCTTGGTTCACAAGTTGCATTGGAAGCTTCAGTCAAGGAGATGGAAAATAGGAGCGAGGTTACATTTTCACTGGGGGCTGAGAGATCTCAAGGATTACAAAGGGAATGTGAGCTATTGAGCAGGGATGTCCATACCCAGAGTTTGGTCCAGTGAGCCTGATAATAGTGCCAGAAGGAGTTGATTGATATCACATAGATAGTCAAGATCAGTTTCACATGATATCCCCTGCTCTTGGGATAGTGAGGTAAGAGCATCCTGACAAATGAGGGATCTTCTTTGTGGAGCCTCTTTCTCCGTTGCAAAACATTCTTCTTTGCAGTCTACGTCTCCCCTTTCCAGGTGATATTGCAAACCCAGAGGCAAGGAAACCACAACCTGCAAACTGTCTGCAGGGTTGTGTCTGTGTCCTTCCCAGATGTATGAGGTAGCTCATCACAAACCCAAGCCACAGCATTCCCAGTAATTTTGCTGCAGTGAAAGTACAGTTAAAATCAGATAGTCAGATATCTGACCCTGTAAATCATGTTAACTGGAGATTCTCACAGTGCTGATCACTTAAGTCTAGTTGAAACATAAGCATTACAGGAGTTCAGTGGCAATTTGCAGACCAAGGTTGTGAAAAGTATATCAAATTACCTGAAACTGAAGCCTATTGTCCCAATCAACACAAGCTGACAGAGCATACATGAATGGCTGCACTAAGACCCTGCTTAACATGGGGTTCTGCACTAGCTGCAACACTTTGCGGCTTCAGGATACCTGACATGACAACTCAAAATTGATGTTTTGGTCTGTGTTTTCAAAGGGTCCTCCGTTGGATGTGATTGTTCCATTACAGAACTCCAAGCAGAAATAAAACAAGCAACTCTAGGGCAGGCCTGGACAACAGTAGGTAATGTTTTCTTTACTTTATGGAATTTGCTTCATCTTCACATGCTCAATTCATGCACAGGCAATGAATTCTATCCTGGTGTTGCCAAATTACATAATCCCTTTTTCCACCTGGTTTCTGATGACTGAATGTTACAAGGATACTGATCAGCCTGTAGCAAAGAAAAATCTTTGTGCCCACAGTTGCCCTGTTTTCTAGAGGGAACATTTTGCATCATTAACTCCCTGACCAAAGACTTCTGCTTTCTTCTTTTGGTTGATAAAGCAAAACTGTTCAATTTGATCTTGCCATTTTCAGCAGTACTAAGTGTTAGATTCCAGTATACATGCTCATTTGTCATCTTTAAGGACAGCTATTCCAATTAATTGAGGTAGCATTAAGGAGGAATTTAATGGGGTCCACTGGAGCGTGCATGATGCTATGGAAGTCCGATCCCTGTATTATATGAGGGGGAGGTGCAAATGGAGAGGATGGGAATGGGTCAACATGGATATTCCTGCCCACATGCAGCCAGATATCAATTAGTTTAATTAACAGGCCACTTAGAACCAATTACCACTGAGCACACAGGGATTTGATGGTAAAATGATTCATACAAGTCTCCCCTCCTGAAAACTACCCAGCAAATCCTGTGCAATCAAGAGTCCAAATGAAGAGATTTAGTGCCCAAATGAAAGATCCGGCATTGGTAAGGGATGGACTGTTGAAAACCAGCCCTACTGTTATATCCACCCACCCTTTTAAAGCGACCTGTTCCCCATGATCCACATCCCACCTCTCTTATTGGTCTCCTAGGATCCACAGTGATCTCTGGTAAAGGTCTCAGAGTATTATTGCCAGTGGCCTCTGCTCTTGGGTGTGCTCTGCCAGTGGAGAGCCGCTGGCCTGTTCAGCTATCCAGGAACCAAGTGAATAGCTGTTGTCGTGGTGATAGATTTTATCACCCACAACTGGTCATAATATCACAAACTAATTGGCACCCTGTCACCAGCCAAATCTCACTTTGTAACACACCCCTGGTGCCAACCTGCCTACAAACAGTTTTGCCCACTCCTTGAACAAAGCAGCCATGTAAACACATCTTACAATGAGAAACGCGATCAGAAATTGCTGGGAAAACAGTGGAGAGAAAGCAGAGTTAACGTTTTGGGTCCAGTGACCCTTCTTCAGAACTCAGCAATTCAGCAATTTCTGATTTTAATTCTGATTTCCAGCATCCACAGTTCTTTGGTTTTGTGTTTGCTACATCATACAATGAGTTTCACCAACTTGCTTTTTAAAAGTGCAACTATTTCTTCCTCAACTCTTTCCTGGAAAATAGTTCTTTTTCTACTTAAACCCACAATCAAAAATACAGAAAATTAAAAGAAAATGTCCTTTGCACAATCTTTTTGGCATATTTGATCCAGAGCTGGGTTTTTGAAACATATCCTCTCCGTCATTAGGATTAACTCTTTGTCAAACCATTATATTGCCTATCCTCATTCATGCCTCTGCTCATTTACAATGGATGCCCTCACCAATGCTTTAGTTGTTTTCAGACTTGATCATTCCAATACTCTTTTGTCTCCCCTTCCACATTGTGTGAGTTTTAGTTTACCCGAAACCCAAATGGACAGATCTCAATTCATACCAAATCACAGTCATCATCCCCATTTTACTGACTTAGCTACATTGGCTCATGTGTGGTAATGCCTCTAATTTAAAGTTCTTATCATTTGTGTTCAAATCCCTCAATGATCTTACCCCTTCCAATATCCAACGGTATGTTAGTAGCTGCTCAACTAGTAATCCAGTAACCTGTTCTTCCTCCCACCTACCCCTCCTCCCACCTCAAGCCGCACCCCCATCTCCTACCAGCTAACCTCATCCCGCCCCCTTGACCTGTCCGTCCTCCCTGGACTGGCCTATCCCCTCCCTAACTCCCCACCTACACTCACCTTTACTGGCTCCATCCCCGACCTGTTTGTTTCCTCTCCACCTATCCTCTCCTCTATCCATCTTCTATCCGCCTCCCACTCCCTCCCTATTTATTTCAGAACCCCCTTCCCCTCCCCGTTTTCTGATGAAGGGTCTAGGCCCGAAACGTCAGCCTTTCTGCTCCTATGATGCTGCTTGGCCTGCTGTGTTCATCCAGCCCTGCACCTTGTTGTCTCGGTTCCTACTATCTCTAATATTTTGGGAGTATTAGTTCAAATCCCACGATAGCAAATGGTGAAATTTAAATTCAATAATAAAAAGATAACTCAATCAA